CGTTCAACAACAGAAACAAAGAACTACGTTAACAACAGGAGGATAGAGGACGCTGTGATTGGAGCTGTGTTTTTGTTGTGTCTCGCGGGTTTCACAGTGGACATGGAAAGTCGACGTATACGTAAAGCGATTGAAAGAACGGGAAGGAGGACTAAAAATCTCCAACGACAACTGGCAGTGCTACATTTGCTACAAGTGCCTGCACTTCACCGTCCGTCCATCTATCGCTGTTCTCCATACTTGGGAAATAAGTTGACATGCTTACAGTATGTTTACACGGAGTTTTAAATCATGGCGGGGGAGGGCGTTTTCATACGCGTTTGGCCAATCAATGTCTACTTACGTCACGATTAGTACCAGTTGTGCTGGTTAGACCCTGCTCCGGAGTAGGAGCTAATTTGGTTCTCGAAAAAGGCAGTCCGGTACTAAAATCGCTCCCAGTTCCGGCGGTGCGAAAACTCCAAAAAGTGGGTAGTTCCACAGTTAGTTCTGGTACTATGAAAAGGTTCCTGCGGTGCGAAAGGCCCTATTCACAGAGTTGTCTATAAGCCACTCTTGCTGTGTGCTTAGGGTCATTGTCCTGTTGGAAGGTGAACCTTCTGCCCAGTCTGAGGTTCTGAATGCTCTGGACTGGGTATTCATTAATAATTCCTTACATATATATATAGCACTTTCCGGGTACTCAAAGCGCTTTACATAGAAGGGGGGAATCTCCTCATCCACCACCAATGTGCAGCATCCACCTGGATGATGCGACGGCAGCCATATTGCGCCAGAATGCCCACCACACACTAGCTTATTGGTGGAGAGGAGACAGAGTGATGAAGCCAATCAGAATATGGGGATGATTAGGAGAGGCCATCATGATGGACAGAGGCCAATGCGCCAGGGTTACACCCATACTCTTTTTCGAAGGACATCCTGGGATTTTTAAGAGTCAGGACCTCAGTTCAACCTCTCATCCGAAAAAGACGGTGCTTTTTTGTCAGCATAGCATCCCTATCACTATACTGGGGCACTAGGACCCACACAGACTGCAGGGTGAATACCCCCTTCTGGCCTCCCTAACACCTTTTCCAGCAGCACCTGGTTTTCTTCAGGGGTCTCCCATCCAGGTACTAACCAGGCGCAATCCTGCTTAGCTTCAGTGGGAGACCAGTCTTGGGCTACAGGGTGATATGGCTGCTGATTAAGGCTATCTCAATATTTTGTTGCATTGAGCTTTTCTTCTACTCTGACGAGTCCCTCAGTCCCTGCCGCTGAAAAACAGCCACACAGCATGAGGCTGCTACCAGCACACTTTACTTTTGGGATGGTACTCTGCAGGTGATGAGCAGAGCTGGTTTCCTTCAAACATGATGCTTAGAACTGAGGTTCATCAGACCAGAGAATCTTGTTTCTCAGAGACTAAGGGTCCTTTAGCTGCTTTTTTGCAAATTCCAAGTGTGTTTTCATGTGTCTTCACTGAGGAGTGGATTGAGTCTTGCCACACCGACATAAAGCTCAGATCGGTGGAGTGTTGCAGTGATGTTTGTCCTTCTGTAGGTTTCTCCCATCTGCATTTATGATCATGGAGCTCAACTAGTGACCATCAGGTTCTTGGTCACCAGTCTAGATAAGGCCCTTCTCCATCAATTGCTTAGTTTGGCCAGGAGGTCAGCTCTAGGAAGAGTCCTGGTTGTTTCAAACTTCTTCCATTAAGGGTAACAGAGACTTGTTTCTGTGAACCTTCAATGCTGCAGAAATTTTTCTGTACCCTTCCCCAGATCTGTGCCTCGATACAATCCTAAAGACAATTCCTTCGACTTCATGGCTTGGTTTGTGCTCTGACATGCACTGTTAACTGTGGGACCACATATATATATAGCACTTTCCGGGTACTCAAAGCGCTTTACATAGAAGGGGGGAATCTCCTCATCCACCACCAATGTGCAGCATCCACCTGGATGATGCGACGGCAGCCATATTGCGCCAGAATGCCCACCACACACTAGCTTATTGGTGGAGAGGAGACAGAGTGATGAAGCCAATCAGAATATGGGGATGATTAGGAGAGGCCATCATGATGGACAGAGGCCAATGCGCCAGGGTTACACCCATACTCTTTTTCGAAGGACATCCTGGGATTTTTAAGAGTCAGGACCTCAGTTCAACCTCTCATCCGAAAAAGACGGTGCTTTTTTGTCAGCATAGCATCCCTATCACTATACTGGGGCACTAGGACCCACACAGACTGCAGGGTGAATACCCCCTTCTGGCCTCCCTAACACCTTTTCCAGCAGCACCTGGTTTTCTTCAGGGGTCTCCCATCCAGGTACTAACCAGGCGCAATCCTGCTTAGCTTCAGTGGGAGACCAGTCTTGGGCTACAGGGTGATATGGCTGCTGATTAAGGCTATCTCAATATTTTGTTGCATTGAGCTTTTCTTCTACTCTGACGAGTCCCTCAGTCCCTGCCGCTGAAAAACAGCCACACAGCATGAGGCTGCTACCAGCACACTTTACTTTTGGGATGGTACTCTGCAGGTGATGAGCAGAGCTGGTTTCCTTCAAACATGATGCTTAGAACTGAGGTTCATCAGACCAGAGAATCTTGTTTCTCAGAGACTAAGGGTCCTTTAGCTGCTTTTTTGCAAATTCCAAGTGTGTTTTCATGTGTCTTCACTGAGGAGTGGATTGAGTCTTGCCACACCGACATAAAGCTCAGATCGGTGGAGTGTTGCAGTGATGTTTGTCCTTCTGTAGGTTTCTCCCATCTGCATTTATGATCATGGAGCTCAACTAGTGACCATCAGGTTCTTGGTCACCAGTCTAGATAAGGCCCTTCTCCATCAATTGCTTAGTTTGGCCAGGAGGTCAGCTCTAGGAAGAGTCCTGGTTGTTTCAAACTTCTTCCATTAAGGGTAACAGAGACTTGTTTCTGTGAACCTTCAATGCTGCAGAAATTTTTCTGTACCCTTCCCCAGATCTGTGCCTCGATACAATCCTAAAGACAATTCCTTCGACTTCATGGCTTGGTTTGTGCTCTGACATGCACTGTTAACTGTGGGACCTTATATAGTAGGGGTGGAACGGTTCAACTTACTCACGGTTCGGTTTGTATCGCGGTTTTAGGGTCACGGTTTTGGTATGGTTCGGTATGTGCTATGTTTAGGGGAAAACTATACTAAAAATAAAGAATAAATATAATCTATATAACTACAAGCAACAGCACAAATAAATACAATAGAGTAAAGATACAAATAAAATAAACAGTGATTTTCCTTTTTTTTTTTTTAGGTAGGTCTAACATTAGTTTTTAGGTACAGAAATTGAATAAAGTAATGAATTGTAAAACAGCATTGCATATTTCACTGTATGAGTGAATTCTTTGTTGTTGCTGTTTGATTAATAGTGCTGTCACTTTAAGGGCCTGTTTACACCTGGTCACTTATCCAGCTATCCGATCGTGAAAAAGCCAGGTGTAAATGCCCTCCGAAGCGCATTTGAGACGGATTTAAGGGGCTGTTTACATCTGGTAATTTCATGCGTTTTGTCTGATCGGATAGCTATCTGATTGTGAAAAGGCCAGGTGTAAATGCCCTCCGAAACGCATTCGAGACAGATATAAATCCGATCGCTCAAACCACTTCAGGAGGTGGTCTGGGCCGCATTCCAGATGAAACTGGACAAGTGTAAATGCATCTGGTTGTTGAAACCACATTTTACCCCTCCCAAAATTTTAAAATAATAAACGTGTGAGAGCGTGTTATAGGCTATATGACATTATAGTCAGATATGACTGCGCTAATGCAACATGCATCGCAGTGGACGGGTAGCTGAGTATCTCTTCAGCAAGCCCACGCGCAAACTGACGCGAATGAAAAAGTAATACGTAGACGGTCAACACACAATCATCTTCATTAAAAGTAGTAAGACAAACTTATCTTTCCAGTGCTAAAATTTTAAAATAATAAACGTGTGAGAGCGTGTTATAGGCTATATGACATTATAGTCAGATATGACTGCGCTAATGCAACATGCATCGCAGTGGACGAGTAGCTGAGTATCTCTTCAGCAAGCCCACGCGCAAACTGACGCGAATTAAAAAGTAATACGTAGACGGTCAACACACAATCATCTTCATTAAAAGTAGTAAGACAAACTTATCTTTCCAGTGCTGATGCCGCACGCTCTCCTATTGCGGTCTTTGATCTTTAAATGAGCTGATAATTAATAAAATGCATCGCTTATCTTTTGATTTCATTAACGTGAACTCCGTTGAATTTAACTATAGCACGGGAATTGAAGATCGGATTTAAATCCGTTTTGCGACGCCACATTTATGTGGCCAAGTGTAAATGGAAACGTTTTAACAAATAAGATAGATATCCGATCAGCAAAAACGCATGAAATGACCAGGTGTAAACAGGTCTTTCCAGTGCTGATGCCGCACGCTCTCCTATTGCGGTCTTTGATCTTTAAATGAGCTGATAATTAATAAAATGCATCGCTTATCTTTTGATTTCATTAACGTGAACTCCGTTGAATTTAACTATAGCACGGGAATTGAAGATCGGATTTAAATCCGTTTTGCGACGCCACATTTATGTGGCCAAGTTTTAACAAATAAGATATCCGATCAGCAAAAACGCATGAAATGACCAGGTGTAAACAGGCCTTAAGAGAATGCACTGATCCAGCGCACTGATACAGGCGGCTATGTCTGCTATAGGGTACTTACAAAGACGGGCATTTTGACATAATTTTTGTGTGAATTTGTCCATTTAAACACAATACTTCAGAGAAAGCTTAATATTTGCGCGGGTTCTGAGGCGCGGTTTTGCATGCTTCAGATGAGCGCATGCACAACTCTTCTCACTGCACGCGCAAGCTCGCGTCCTCTGGCTCTTAAATGTTTAAACTTAAACAAGTTTAGTTTAAACACAGATATCAACGTGTGCTATTCAGGTCTCACCTGTGCTGTGTGCACAGCGGATCTAAAATATTCATAATTAATTATAACTAGTTATGATTAATTATTCATATTTCCCATGAGCTGATTCGTTACAGCACGCTATCAGCACCCAGGTGATAACGTAATAAATGACTGCTCATATTCCAGCATACGGCATTCGCATTGAACAAGAGTGAATGGTTTGTCCACGGTTTTTTTTTTTTCATCACTGTTGTTGTAATGTACTGGGAAGACAGAATGTGCATCCATCAACAGAAACATACATTAGCTGAACCCTGTTTGTTTTACTTGTTATTTATAGCAAACCATATTACAGATGCATAGTCAGATTTAAATTGAACCGCGGTCCTAGCGCGTACCGAACCGTGTGTGGAGAACCGTACGGTTACATTTTTTTCCGTGAACCGTTCCACCCCTATTATATAGACAGGAGTGTGCCTATCCAAATAATGTCCAATCAACTGAATTTACCACAGGTGGACTCCAATCAAGTTGTAGAAACATCTCAAGGAAGAATGATCAGTGCATGATCTGAATGCACCTGAGCTCAATTTTGAGTGTCATGGCAAATGCTGCGAATACTTATGTACATGTGATCTTTACGTTTTTTATTTTTAATAAATGTGCAAAGATTTCAAACAAACTTCTTTCACGTTGTCATTATGGAATATTGTTTGTAGAATTTTGAGGAAAATATTGAATTTAATCCATTTTGGAATAAGGCCCTAACATAACAAAATGTGGGAAAAAGTGAAGTCCTTCTAGGACTCCCTTTGAGCCCCTAATTTTTTAAAAGAATGAAAGAAACGGAAATATAACATTTGACCAGTCTGTATTGAAAGCTATTTAATTTGAAAACCCTTTGTCTAATATATTGGTAATTATTAGGAGTACCTCTTTGCTCTGTAGTGCAGTGTCAATGGCCAGGCCGGGGCCGAAGCCTGTTAGCGTTTTGACATTAGTGGAGGTTGGCAGACGCCGTCTGCACTGAGTGTAAACTGAGAAAGCCAGAGACTTCAGGTGCTGTGCGTATATATGGCGCTCCTCACTCCAGACCGGCTGCAGTAAGTACTGGCTGGGTATAATCTGGTAGAAGAAAACACAGGATGTTTAAATCCAAGCAACGTGACGTTAAGAGTCGGAAAACACAGATCAGATGGATTCTTACTTGGACATATACGGCATTCCTGATGTGAGGGGGAAGAGACTGAAGCATTTCTAGATAACAGCGAAGAAGACCCATCGTCCACACACTAGAATTGCCGCCTTGGCCTGTCTCCTCATAGCTGAACGGGTTTACGATGTAGATCACTATAGCGGGAGGATAGGTGACAGCATGGGAGTCTCCGTCAGTCGGCACCCCCACCTTCTCTCTCTCCATTGTGCTGTGACACAGATAAATCACAGTTTAGAGATCACATCTGAGAGAATCAGTAACAAGATTGTTTGGATGTGAAAGGTGGTACCTCTCTGCAGGCTCAGACTGGACCTGAGGTTGGCTGGTGGCTGATGTGCCATCCCCCAGAGTCCCTGCACTCTGACCACCACTCGGCTGGCTGGACTGCAAGCCCCCAAAAGGAGGCAGTGAGTTGGGCTTGGAAGACGGCATGGTGCCTATGCCCTGAGAGCAGGAGGAAGTGGTGGTGGTTGTGGTGGTGGTGGTAGTGGTGTTAGTGTTGGAGGTGCTGTTGGTGGATGGGGTGGCGTTCTGAGCGGCCGTTACGGGGCTGCCAGAGCTGGAAGTTTGTGTAGAGCTGGTTGGGTTTCGCTGGGAAAGCAGTGAGCTGTCCAAAGACTGGGATGCTAGAATGGACGCTGAAGAGATAAGAAATAGTATAAGATTGTTGCATTTACACTGTCCGCACAACATCATAATTTGTTTGTGCACATACCCAAGTCGTGACAGCACACTTGTGCGTAGAGTTTGAGCTTGTTAAACACCTCGCTGCTGCTGTTGATGGTTTTTGGGAGCCAGTCAGTGAGAGTCTGGTCTGTGAGAGCTTTGGATTCAGTATCGCTCACCGTCACAATGCCATCAGCGTGAGACTTGGCGATGGGCCTGTGCTGACCAAGCCGACAGGACTGTCAAACAATAATAAATCATGTCAAGTCCATTTTATTTGTATAGTGCTTTTCACAATACACATTGTTTCAAAGCAGCTTTACAGAAAACCATGAAATTCATGTTCATAACATCATAATATATCATCTTTATGCCTTATAGTCACATTTAGTGTATGTAGATATTACTTATATATAAAACTTAAAAAGAGCTGGGAGATAATATAGTTTTGTAATTTTACAGCAAATAATCAGATGGTTGAGACTTGCAATATACCATATAATTGAGTGTGCTGTACAAATGTGGAAAAAGTTAGACAGCCCAACTTCATATGAAAAACCGGGCATGCGTATATGTTTTTAATGTTGCAATGAAATAAAGATGATTTGCAAATCACGTTGCGAGTTCATAATTTAGCACGTTCTAACCTCATATACAGCTGTCAAATCTCTGAAGAAAGTTCTGGCTCCATTAAGCAGGGCTTCGTTGTCAGGACACACCACCATGTATCCGATATCCCTCTGAGAGCTGTAGGGGTCCAACAGAAGCTTCTCCCAGTACGGCAGAGCAAAAGGAGACAACACCACGAAGTCATACTCATTACCCACCAGTAAGGTGGGGATGGGGAGGGGCTCTGGAGATTCATCTGTGCCTGAGAGAAAAGAGTTGGGTAAATATGCCTGTATCATATATAAATGATGCAGAGGATGGTGTATGTTGAGTTATGCCTACCGTACGATCCCCTGCCAGCCATCTTGTGGAATTGCTGCCAGGTGAGGGGGCCCTGGACTCCCCAAGAGCGCACAGACCTCTTCTTCTGGATGGTGTCCTGCAGGACAGGCTGCAGTGACAGCAGCATCCTCAGCACGTCCTGGGAGAACAGCATGTTCATATCGAAAGCTGCAAGAACACAGAGAGAGGAGTGTTTTTCAAGCACCAGATTTGACTTCAAATAGATTTACTCATGAACTCATTTAGTTTGAGAAAGCAGTTTTGTTGGTTACTTGCAGAATTTGCTACAGGTCTGCATGAAATGAAAATTCACAATATCTGTTTACGGCATCTACATATCTATAACTGGATTGTTCTGGCAACACATGCTGGACTTCTCCAATCATTTCACCCTTTTCTTACAATAGCCTGCCAAGCTCATATTCTGTTCTGCCTTCATCCAATCAACAACCCATGGACTGAACCAAATCCTGCCTGGTTTGGTCGAAATGTGAAAACAACATGGACACTCTCTTAACTACAAAGATTTGTTGGATTTGTATTATTAGAGCTCTCCGACTTGAGTTAACGTGCATTTTCTCAGTCGGGAAATTATTTTTCACGTGCGGTGCCGGTGATGATGCTTTTTACGTTCGTTTCGGAGAACCAGAGGACAAATATTTCAATCGATCGCTCAGGCATGGCACCAAAATGAGGCACCGAAATCTGCATTCTGATTCGGTTCTAGTAGATACCGGTTACATAGGTACCGGTGCCATATTGGTACCGGGTTTCGGTACCCAACCCTAGTGTGAAGCGCTTAAAACAGCGAAGAACACAAATGACTCACAGATTTGACAAACGCACTGACAAACAGCAGAAACACTATGTGCAACAATACAGTCAGAAGGCTTTCAATCTACAAATCGTCATAATTTACCATGGATTCACTGTAGTAACAAGTGCACCATGGTATTGTGGCAGAAATGTGGATTATATTCATATATAATTTTATCATATTAATGTAGACATGTATTAAAGGAGTAATGGGATATACTTACTGTATTGTTTGTGATTAAGCTATAGTGTTTGTGCATTTGTACTAAATGTATTTAGAGTACTGTTTTTCATACAAATACCTGGAAACCATGTAGATACGTTTACCCGATACCGATATGGTGGCCGATATATCGTGCATCCCTAAAATACATGCTACTATAGAAGAACAATGGTTCATTTTAATAACACTCAAACAGTCAGAATAATTAAATTTAATTAAAAAAGAAGTTATTTTTTACAGATGTTACTGCTTTTTTCACTGTAGTAACAAGTGCACCATGGTATTGTGGCAGAAATGTGGATTATATTCATATATAATTTTATCATATTAATGTAGACATGTATTAAAGGAGTAATGGGATATACTTACTGTATTGTTTGTGATTAAGCTATAGTGTTTGTGCATTTGTACTAAATGTATTTAGAGTACTGTTTTTCATACAAATACCTGGAAACCATGTAGATACGTTTACTATGGTATTGAGGTTTTAACTGTGGTTATCATGATCTAAATACATGCTACTATAGAAGAACAATGGTTCATTTTAATAACACTCAAACAGTCAGAATAATTAAATTTAATTAAAAAAGTTATTTTTTACAGATGTTACTGCTTTTGACAAACAAATTTACATCTGAATACTAACTCAAGCTACTGTCACATCATTTCTAAGAGACAAAAAAAAAGTCATATTAATATTGCAGCCTGCACTGCAAACTGTGCTGAAGGTACGCATCAAAGTCAGGCAAACCTGTTTCATGATTTGAAACAATATCACTCAACATGCATAAAATAAGAAATAGTTTTTTATATTAAGCTATTTATTTTGTTAAGGAAAAATGATTGGAAAAGTGTAAAGAATTCAAAAACGTGAAGTGTTTGTCATGTTCTGACCATAAAGGGTAGTTTAAAAGCACAATCAATGGTCTAGTTTCTACAACTTTCACTTAGGAGCAAAAATCTGCCTTTAAACTTGAAAGAAACATATTGATAATGTATTAATTTAAATTCTTTTTAGCCATCTTGTGGACCCCGGCTCTTTGGTTTTGAACCACTGCTAAAAACCTTGCACTGAATGAGCAGTGTAAAAATAAAAGTAAAAGAATAAAAACAATTGATCAACAACATCACAGAGGACCTCAGATGATGCCAATCCTGAAACAACATACAGAACTACCAAATACCAAACGTCTGTTTGATTACATCTTTAATTGATTTTTCCGTACATTTCTACCATATGTACATTAACTGACAGTCACCAGTGATAAGCTACCACTAAATATTGTAGAAACTTAATTTTCTGTAAAGTTGCTTTGCAACGATTTGTATCATAAAAACCGCTATACAAATAAACTTGAATTGAAGGAAGTCTCACCGTTGCGTTTGGCCCAGTGGTGTAAAGAAGAGCTCTTGACCAGTGTCTCATCGACTTTTCCTCCTGACATGTTGTCCATGAACTGTCTGCCGTGCTCCAGAGCCAAGTAGCAGTCACTGTAATAGTCCCTCTCCTCCAGGCGCATGGGGGGCTTGAGACTGGTGCTGGGATGTTCTGGCCTGATGATTGGGGAGAAGGGGTTAGTGCACAGATCCTGCAGCAGAAGGATTAGATCATCCGGGACCTGCTCTTTAAGGGCTGCCCCTCTCTGAACGGAGGCTGTGCGTACAGCCTCAAAGTGCTTCTCAGTCTCCCGTCCGGCATCTGAACCCCGCCCCATGATGTCCATCTCGTCCTCCAGAAAGAGGCCGGCCCCGTTGCCATAGCGACGGTTCATGACAGCGCTAAAACCGCAGGAGCAGGGGTCCATGCTTGAGTACTGCGAATCCATGTTGGGATCGCTGATGTAGACGCCCACATCCGCCCCCGTAATGTCCATGTTGCAGACGCAGATGCAACAGCTGTCAAAGTTGCAGTCCTTAAAGAGGTTCATGACCGACTCGGAGAGGATGAGGGTGACGTATAGGCTGTGAGCTTCTGGGATGGAAGGCTCGGTGGCCGGCTCTACCGAATTTAAAGGTCTGCAGGTGGAGGGCGTAGAGGCAGGAGAGTAGAGGTCGGAGTTCTCGTATTTCAGCGAGCCTTGGACGCTGGCAGGGCCTCTGGGGGTGCGTGGGGTCCGGGGTGTCCGTGGCGTCGGGGCAGAGATTCGAGGGGTGGCAGGGGAGGGCAGGATGCCAGCGCCGCTGTTGCTGGGAGGGGCGCTGTTAGACATAAAGGTGTTGTGTGTCTGAGGGGTGCAGCTCTGGTCCTGCTCAGCTGCACTTCCTACACTAGGGATGTTACTGTTAAAGAAAAGGAGAAAGTGTTACAAATAGTGGCTAAAATATCAAACCAACTGGCATTTATTTGGAAGATAAATAGCACAAGCGTACATTTCAAACCAAATGCGTGACAGAAAGAAGACTGTTTAGTTGAAAAGTATAAAACAGATATATTATCTAAAATTATGGGGAAAACATTTGTACACTTTTTGCTCGTCACACAGTGGAAATCTTTAGTTACCTCCTAAAATCCTCCTGAAGTCAAGTGAATTTAATTCCTTTAAACACTGTTTGAAGTTTTTAAAGTGACTCACTGCCAAACTCTGTTAAGATTCAGCATAAAAGCTGCAACATATGTCTGCACTGTCTGGCCAATAGAAACAGATTAAGTAAGTGTAGTAAAGTGTTTTTTTGGATGTGCGCAAGAAAGCAGGGGTAGGCGATATGAGCTAAAATTCATATCACAATATTTTACACTGTCCAGGCAATATCGATATTATATTGCGATATGAGAAAAAAAAAAATTACAGGCAAAATATTTTAACCTTATATAACTAGAAAAAGTGAGGGATTGGACATAGACCTGAAAAGTCTTTTTTTATTATGTCATTGTTTTTCTGCAAAAGTGCAAACGTGCAACATGAGGTAGGTATGAATTAAATTAAATTAAATATTGTGTGTTCGAGTTGGCCAGTGGTTCCCAAACTTTTCTGCCGCGCCCCCCTTTTGTAAAGAAAAATATTTTCAAGAACCCCCCACCCCCACCCCCTCTTTTTTTTGGAAAGTCTCTTATGCTCACCAAGGCTACATTTATTTATTAAAAATACAGTAAACACTGTAATATTGTGAAATATTGTCAATTTAAAT